AATACTGAAGTGGTTTGCCATTCCCTTCTCCAGGGGACCACATTTTGTCAGAACTCTCCAGCATGATCTGTTCATCTTGGGTAGCCCCACAAGGCATGGCTCATGGTTTCACTGAGTTAGACAAGGTTGTGGTCCATGCGATCCATTTGATTATTCACACAGCCTGTGGCATAAACCCTCTTGGAGGAGGTAACCAATAAACCCACCATAAAGCTGCCGAGCAGACAACCCACAAACTGCAGAACAATTATACCGAAGAAATTCTCACACTGTTAAGAAATTTCTAGGACGCACAGCTGATTTTCCAACCTGGGGATCTGGCAAAGGGATTGATAACCCCCAAGGAATCTGACTTTGGAAGCCAATAGGATTTGATTACGGAACTTACACAAGACTGGGGACCCAGGAGAAAGGAGCAGTGACCCCACAAGAGACTGAGCCAGACTTGCCTGTGAGTGTCCAGGAGTCTCCAGTGGAGGCGTGGGTTGCGGCGGCCTGCTGCAGGGTTAGGGGCACTGAGTGCTACAGTGTGTGGAAACAGGTCCCCATTATCTTCACTACCCCCACCATAGTTTGGTCTCAGGTCAAACAACAGGGAGGGCACACAGCCCCACCCATCAACAGAAAATTGAATTAAAGATTTACTGAACATGGCCCCATCCATCAGAACAAGACCCAGTTTCCCCCGCAGTCAGTGTCTCACAGCAGAAGGCTTCCATAAGCCTCTTATCCTTATCTCTCAGAGGGTAGACAGAATGAAAACTATATTTGATGCAAATTAAAAACAAAAGAAAACATTTCAAACCACAGTTGAAATCTGCTTCTCTTTTTTTCTTTCTAATCTCAACTGCCAACTTTAGGTAATCACACAATGACCTTCAGGCAGTATGTACTACATGTTCTCACTTTTAAAACTGGTCTACTTGCCGTACCGGAATAGGTGAAATCCTGTTCAAACGTCAGGTACCTTGGGTATGTATAACCAGTGTGGCTATTGTTTCATATCATCTCCATTTAAAATAAATGTGGAGGCCTGTCTGAGTGAGTGGTGGTTTTGAGTTTAAAGATATCTACTGCTATTGGTCTGAATGTTTGTATGCTCCCTAAATCCACATGTTGAAATCCAGATTCCCAGAGGTGAAACTATTAGGTAGTGAGGCTGTTGGGAAATGATTAGGTCAGAAGGGTGGAACCCTTGTGGTGGGATTAGTGCCCTTGTAAGAAGCCTAGGAGTCTCCCTTGATCCTTCAGTCCTGAGGCGTTACATCAGAAAGGTGGCTGTCTAGAAAGATGGCAAACTCTCACCAGACACTAAGTCTTCTTTTGCCTTGATCTTGGACTTCTCAGCCTCCAGAACTGAGAGAAATAAATTTCTGTTGTTTAATGGGGCACTTAATTTATGGTATTTTGTTAAAGCAACCCAAATTGGTTAAAGAGTCAATCACTAAAACAAAAACTAAATATTGAGTATGAATAGCTAGGTGTGCTTTAGATCAACCAGTAAGCTCAACAAATGTTTGAATAATTACTGTATCTTGGGCCATTTGCTAAACCTTTCCACACAACAATGAACAAAACAGTAGTAATTTCTGCCCTCACAGGGAAGCAGTTAGCAGCACCTTGCATATCTTCTATTCAAGAGATCTCTTAATTGAAGACTGAAATAAACCTGCCCATTAGTGTATTAAAGGCAAAGATCTAAGTACTTAATTGATGGCCTTGTGGTATTTCCTAAAGGGACTTTTTTTTTTTTTGATCCATCTGCAAGCTTCTAGGGGCAGGCAA